ATCAAAATTCCAATAGGTGGGGTGACATGAATGCCAAACTGGGAGGGGACAACACTTGAAGAGAACTAACCGTGGGTCGAGAAGCGGTCAGTGAAATGAAAGAGAATGGAGAACTGTTTGCAGAAATCCGCTCATTCAACTATTTGATGATTGGAGTGGGGCACTGTGTTCAAGCACAAGGATATCCACAAAGCGACATAGATTTGACTTCATCAGATGGACACACTAAAAGTCAGATCGACTTCATCTGAGCGTGAAGAAAGTGGAGATGCCGCCTACTTGACACAAGATCAGACCAAGAAGGGGAGCAGATGTAAGTTCGGACCACTGACTATCTAGTGCAAGGAACCTACCTTCAATATCAAGTTGAAGCCTTCAAGGAAGTTGGTGATAGGCGACCACAGTTCAAGTACAACACTCGGAAACTGAAGGATGAAACTACAAAAGAACTCTTCACTTCAGCCATAAAGACAAAATGAGAGACATTGAGCAACATCCCTGAAGAAACCTGTGTAGATGAAGACTGGAAGTCTTTAAAAAAAGGGACGTGGAAAGAAACCTGCATAACCGTATTAGAACGGAAGAGGAAACAAGGCAAGGAATGGATCTCGATGGACACATGGAAGCTGATAGAGCAGGGAGAGGAATACGGTGATGGTGAAGCAGAAGATGAACCAGTGCAGTGCAAGGCTGAACAACGAGAAGAGGAAGTGAACACAGCCTATAAAACACTACACTGGACAAAGAAGTGAAGAAGAGTGTGCGCAAAGACAAAAGACACTTCTACGACACACTGGCAAGTGAAGCAGAACAGGTTGCAGGTAGGATAGACAGACACCTGACAACATTGTATCAAATAACCAGGTTACTATCTGGGAAGGGATCAACACACATGGAACCAATAGAAGATGATGAAGGAAATTTAATTACGAAAGGAAAGAAACAAAGGAAACGATGGGCTGACCACTTCAAAAAGCTTTTGAGTAGACCACCACCTGCAGCCCAGCCACAGAACTAAAAATGAACGCTACGCATCATCATAGAACAGAGTATAGAATGGCAATCAACTCTCTACCTCAACTTCGCCAACTTTGAAAAGGCCTTCGACAGCATCGACCGAGAAGTAATTTGGCAGGCAGCTGCTTCAACACTACGGAATACCACAAACCGTTATCAATCTCATTCAACAACTATGTGAAGACTCCACATGCCAAGTAATTCACGATGGGAGGCTCAGTGATGCCTTTTAAGTGAAGACAGCGGACAGGAGTAAAACAAGGCTGTCTACTATCACCCATGATATTCCTGATTGTGGTGGACTGTATCATGCAGCAGACAGTGAGGAGCGAGAGGAGGGGGATACGCTGGACCGGGGAAAAGATCCTAGAAGATTTGGATTTCGCCAGTGATTTATGTTTAATGTCGCACAAACTTAAAGATATACAGGCGAAAACTAACAAGTTGACAGAAGAGGTGAGGCAGCGAAGGGAGATGGGACTTCAAGTGAACGTAGAGAAGACGGAGGTGATGAAGATACCCAACCAACACCAACGACAACAACAAGTTCCAATCACCATCAACGGGAGAAACTTAAGGGAAGTAGCCTCTTTCACCTACCTATGTAGGCAGCATCGTTTCAACTACAGGCGGCGGTGGCACAAACGAGGACGTCAAAACTGGGATCGTAAAAGCAATGTACTGCATTTTTGTACGTGTATAAGCCCATCATTTAACGGCATATCGTTTTTTTTTGTTAGCTGGAAAAACGGCAATTTAAAATCATTTTCAAAGCCTGCATGAGTACACAACGCGTTTAAAAGACATATCGAAAAGATTTAAACAGATTGAAAGGAAAGAAACTGATGAAATATATTCCGTGGGAAATTCTCAGTGGCCCAGTTTTTAAGCAGGCTGCCTGATCAAATACTCAACTGAATACTCAATTGATCATTGTAAATAAACTAGACAATCTACCACATCGTTACTTTTATACTTAAGATCAATGATCCTTGTTTATTGTTCTACTAATCATAACTTTTCCAGTCTTCATAAGTTCATCTCACTTTTCAGCTGCACCATGCCGTGACAATCCTATTGTGAAAAGAAATAAACACCGCAAACGTTCTCGTCGATTTTGCATTAGTTCTCGAAAGACCAAACAGCTCTCTGCTTCTACGAAATCCCGGTCTCAATATACGAATAACTCTGTAAGTAATTTATTTCTCCATGTTTGTCGTATGCTAAGACCAAAAGAGAACTTATTCACTATATTTCCCACACGATTATAAGCAAATCACCAAGTGCAAATAGACACTTGGTATGATGCTCTAACTGATGTCTGATTTAAGTGTTGCATACTTGCTGGCAGCTGAAAGACTAATGTGATGCAGTAAAATCTTATGAGTTGTCATAGCATACATTATGTATATTGATTAAATATTTCCGATCAAGTTTACTAATGAGTCATCAACTGATACATGTCGATAGATAGCTTCTAGAAATGTTCCCAAGTTCATGCTTAAAATTTATTATTATTCCTCCAAACATTTTTGCAGTCACGGTGGATAGTTAACCTGACGACTATATTCAGCGTCTTTGCAAAAAATATTTCGCACTTGTTCATGAATTCATAACCACAATATTCGACGCTTTTAACAGAATGTTTCAATAATAATTATTATTTCCCTTCCCTTTATTTTTGTCTTCATTAGAAATACAAACTAATATCGAAAGAGGATCTTATCAGCCTTAAATTAGTCTCATCGCTTGACTTAGATGAAGATCCAGAAGCAAAGTTTTCAAGGACACCACACTGGATTTATACTTATGCGTCAGAATATGAGAAGTAAGTCCATATACTAGTTTTGTTGATGATATAACTTGTATTAAAACTATCCAGGGATTTCAGTAAAATCATCCTAAAGCAATCATAGTTTAGCGAAGGAAATGAAAAATCAGGGTTAGCAGTTTAAAAAAATTAGTACAAGATGGTGACATAAACACGTTATATAATGAGAGATAGAGAATAAAAATATGGTCTACACCTTCAAGTAGATCGATTGTAAATGCATCTACGCCATTGCAATTAATCCTGTGGTCCATCCTTCATTCAAATCAACACAAAACCACCCATTACTGCGTAACGATCCGAGTTGCCACACCTCATATCAGTACATCAAATAAAAAAGGCAGTGAAGTGCAAGATGAAGATAAGAAAACTCAGTCAGAAGAAATATAAAGTACTAAAAGAGAGAAAGGAGGAATGAGAAAATAGTGAGATTAAGTATAGCGTTAAGATGAGGATAATGTGTGTATCCATCTGCTCCACTGACATCGGTTCTGAACCATATCGTTTACAGTCTTCAACCACTGGTTCCTCTTGTCCCACGGACCCCAACCAACCAGTCTACATAGCCCCACATGGCTCAAGCCAACAGTCAGAGACTTCATACATTGATGCCATGTCTTAGTCTCTCCGTCTCGGACCTTTTTCCAGTCTGGACCTACTTCGGCCAACATTTTGTGACGGGGCAGACGTAACACATGTCCCAACCATCTTAGTCGATGAAGGTTCACAACCTCGTCAACTGACTTACCTCTTCTCCATGACTTCTGCGTTACTCACGTGATGACACCACAGAATACGGCCTATACTGCGAAGGCAACGGTGGTCAAACACTTGAAGCTTTCTCATGTCTTCCACCTTTAATGGCCACGTTCCACAGCCATACAGTAGAGCAGATCAGACTGTTGTGCAGTATACGTGACTCTTAGTGGACAGACAATCGAATATCACGGCAGCGCCACAGATGGCGTAAGTTGGTGAAAGCCAGTCGAGCCTCTTGTATCCGTGCAGAGATTTCATTGGCCACTGAGACACCAAGGAAGGGCTGATCCTACCTACTTCCCAGGTAAGTGAAGTGGTCGACACACACACTCAACCATAACATTCTGAATTCTTAGTCGCAGTGGAGCACCGTTGAAGACCAATCCTGGAGCAACAATTTGCATTTCGGTGAAAATCTGATCAATGAAGGTTTTAAACGCACCCGGTTTCGTTGAGCTCACGCTAGGCTTCGTCCAACTATAGACCCCAGGAAACTTTGACAGGATTCTAGTGCAAGTGATCCCCTATCGTTATCACAAGACTCCTCCCACATCTTAGACTGTAATCATCAGTAATCTTGATTACTCCGTTGCGATTAATTCTCATTTACATACGCTTTCCAGTGGCTGCATTACTTCTCTCACTAATTCACTACCTCCGTCCTTGGAAGTTTCCGATAGTATACCGTCAGGTTCTCCTTCCTCCGTCGTTTGAGGTTAGAAACAGCCTTCCTAACTTCTAGGTGAGCACCGCGACCGACATCTACATCCCACTGAGGGTCGCGCTGGATGCTGAGCAACTGGGGTTTTGCTGTAGCTCAGCTGAAAGGTGCTTTAAGGTGTTCCACCCAACATTCTAGCCCTTTTTTCTGAGAGGTCTTCAGTGGTGATCTCATCATGGTATTCTCCTTGCCAGTATCGTCAATGAGCCCAATAATAGCTGGATATTACCTAATGTTAATGCCCTCTCCACATCTCTCGCTTCCGCCACCCACCACCACTCACGATCACTGAGAACATTCCACGTCGATTCACCTTTAGGTTGGTTTAGATGTTTGTCATGGTCAGAGTTAACTGAAGTAAGTCTTCTAACCGCAATCACTTCCGATGAAGTTGTAGAAATCCACCGATGGGTGTAAATTACTAGCTGCTTCTAAGGCTGTTTCTAACCTCAAACGACGGAGGAAGGAAAACCTGACGGTATACCATCGGAAACTTCTAAGGACGGAGGTAGTGAATTAGTGAGCGAAATAATGGAGCCACTAGAAAGCGTATGTAAGTACTATTGATAAGTGAAATTGATATTGATGATAATTGGTTCTACAGGCTTGGAAATACATGTAAGCCTACTGGCGTTATATACTGGCTGTAATTTTGACTTAAGGTTGACTTTCGATACAGGTGATTGGAGGTATTGTGGCAGTGTGTGATTTTGAAAATAGTACTAAACTTGCAGATTGCGTTGATCATAGCTCCCTGCTGGTACTCACACAGTTGCATAAGTACTCATTCATAGTTCTAATCCGAATAACCACTGCTAGTGTTGTCCACTTAAGATGCTTACTATTAACATTCCCGATTAACGTTTCCATAGATGTGATGATTTATACGATTTTAAGCCTTTTGGAATACATAAATGTAATTGGCTATGATGCCGACAAAGTGTTTGGTTTTCTGAATGCTTCAAGTTGGGATCTGATTATGGTTGACTTGCGTTTTGCATTTGTTGGAGGTATTTTGATGATCAATAACTGATGTTTACCGACTCCTAGTTTAGAGATAAGGAGCGAAGTGATAGGACACGTTAATTAGATGGTTTTTAGCCTCAGCAACTGATATACTTAAACATTTGTTCAAACGGACAGACTTCTGTCTTTCTGGGCCTGAAGTGTTAATCGAAGTAGGATTCAGTTGGAAGAAGGCTAAGGATGCTGAGACTAAGATAGCACTAATGCGTGGAGCTATGACTGTTGGTCTGAATTGTTAAGGAAGATGTAGGTTTCAGCTCGCCTCATCTTTCGAAATTTTGTTGGAGTTTCTTTGTGATAGCACTCACAGTCGGTCATAGTGGTGAAGATATATGTACTCCTAGTCTTCTTTGGATTCTTCAACCTTCTCAGTAACCCCCCTATTCCTATTCTCTATCATATCATACATTTTTTCGTCTTCAGTGATTTTCTTTTGCTATCCACTTCGTGTGCTGCTGTATAGTGTAGCAACTTGAAGTGATGCATTTTTGTGCAGGATTTTGTTTTGATTAATCTATCTGCGCCCGCACAAAATGTTTATCATCCGTACTCTGTATCTCAGCACAGTAAGTGCATTTCATTCTTTTACATTTGTATTTCTGCTTGAGTCGTGAAGTTTGATAACACTTTTTGTTGAGCGTTAATGTTAGCGTGATATATGTTTTAATCTCGTATATGAAGCTTCTGGCTTTCTAGTTAAAATTTCTGGTTAAATATATAGACTTGCAATTAATATTGGATGACTTGAAAACTATGTATTTATGTAAATGTGATTTTCTGCCCACTCTAGTTTCTGAAAGCTGTTTTCTTTCATATATATATTTTGCAACCCAATGTAGTTATATGGTTAATGCTTTCTATTAAAATTTAGAGTTTGTGACGCATTAGTTGTTAGACTTTTACTCCACATTCAAAAGACTTGATTAGAAATTTGTTCACATCTGATAAACTACCATATACCAACTTTATACATATGGACAGATTTTCTTCATCAACAGAAATTAATTATCATCAGCTTGACTGTCTGAAATAGCCATAGTTTGGCAGACTCGTTTTAATACTGAGTGGTGGTTGAAGGTGAAATGAGAGTCTGAGTTGTTTTAGGACTCGAACCAGTGACCATTGGGTGGAATAAAAATCTGGTCACCAGTCGGGTGTCGTAGCTCAGTTAGTAGAGCCCCCGGTGGTCGCTTATTCCAGTCCCCCTGCTGCCCAAATTTCCATTTGTTATTCAATCATCATCCAGTATCAGTTGATTATCTATATTTGAGTATATGGGATTTGTAAGTGAAATCTGAAGTTTCGATATCAGTAATCTTGGCAAATTGTCCAGAACTTCAAATGCTTAGTGATTCTCGAAGCTTGTATTTCAGTCAATTGCTTGAATACTTTTCATCTTTAGACTTTAAAATCTATTTTATTCTAATTTTTTATTTCAGAAACGTATTGAAAACTCATTTATTGCTTGGGGATGTCACAAGGATCGCATATTTGCTACTCAGAAATCGTAAATACCAGCCGATTTTGATAGATGTCTTAAAACACTGTTGGCATTTTTGTCACAGAGTTCCTTTAGCTGATATTCATATTCGTACGTCAGTTGGTCTATCATCACTGAAATCTGTCCGTTTGGCACAGCATTCTACAACAATTTCAAGCTCTACATTACTGTTTGTTGTCCAGTGGTCTTCTGACAGTGTACTGAAAGGAACATTGGCTATTGCATGCAGCTGTTTACCACCGAATGGCAGTTGGTACAATTGTTGTTCGAAGAAGTTTCTACAGACAATATCACGCCTAATTTTGAAACCTGAAGCAAAAAAACATATTTTGGAACTTTCGAAAAACTTCTCAGCTAAACCTCATCAAATATCAAGTGTTTCCTTATTGTCACCCGCGGTAATAATGAGTCAGAGTGGTAATGATGCGCATCTAACTGCACACAGTCTAGGAGACAGTGTTTTTCAAAACGCAAATTTGTACAAAGATTTATTAGGTTGTCTTCCAAAATCAATTTCAACTATATTAAGAAACAACATTGGTCTGTCTCTAGAGCATATCGCAGCTTTCGGGCTTCTTATTAGTTCCTTCCATAATACATGCGTTTATGTTTTCAGTGAAGTTAAAACAACTACAGATTGTAACTCAAGTTCTTTGTCGGATGAAAGACTCTCTGTTAATTTATTCACTGGCATACAAAGTTTACATCACGTTGTGTCTTCTTGCCTATGCAGATTACGTGATTCTTATGCATCGCTTATGTCTGCTGGTGCTTGTTTGAAGGCGAGGTATGAACTTTCAAATGCAAACTTTCACGATCTTCAGCAACCTCCTTACATGCGAATCGCTCGTGGGCGAGCTCGTCTTTTCGAATCAGAATCAGCTGCACGGGAGAATATTCGTCGTATATTCACTGAAGAAGTCAGTCCTCATATTCTTCATTTAATAAATGTTCTAGAGAACTTAAATCACTCATTGCGTCGTATATCCTCAAATATCTTCTTACTTGGCCCATTTTTCCATCGTGATACATCTTTTGATGATAGACACCTATCCTTATTAACTTCTAAACAGTGGGTACATGAATCCCTTGAATATACACAAAATACTATACACTCAACCATTCCCTTAACAGAATTGGAATTTACGATTTTTATTGATACGTCCTTTTTTCTTCTCGAATATCTCACTTCGAATGTTTACAAACATATTCATATGCTAAGTGACAATATCCAGTCTTTCAAGCACGAACTGTCACAAACCTACTCCTCCATTGTTGACACTTGGATTCCAGCTTACAAAGAACTGTCTACAACTGTAAATTCACGTGCTGACGTTGATTTAACATACTTCTTTTCTTCTTTGCAAAGTCAGTACGATGTCATTGAAGCGTGGACTAGACATCAGCATGAAACAGAATTAAGGCATATTGGTAGTAACATGATTAACCTTCTCACAAAACTTTCTGATTGTTGGCGCTGTCAGTCTCTTTATCGAAATTTAAACTTACCGTGTCGTAATTTAAGTGTTCCGTATGGTTCCAGAAACAACCCCTCACAGCCTATGGTGAAAGAAATGAAAATCGACTCGTTATTGCCTTGGCCACCAAAGCATCCCAGTTCCGTTCTTACTCAACATTCAGTCCAAAGAAATATACAAGAATTTCAAAGTAAAACTGCTTGTTCTGCTAACAACGATTCAGAAGAATTTGTCTACTCAAGGATGACATTTTCTCAAGACAAGTCAAATAAAATACCTAAGTCTAATATGAATATGTCGCACTCTGTGACAGTTAGCAACGGTGGTCGTGAGGTGGAATCGTTTATTCGGCATCAAGGTAGCAGTTATTGTTTTGAAACTGTGTGTGATGGTCAGAGTGTTCAAGATACATCCTCTGTATCGCACTCTGTTGATTCTCATTCCCCTAACCTTGTTCTTGAGTCACAGTTACCAATACCTTCTGGTCAACCATGTCCAGGCATAATAACCAATGTCTCTCCTTTCCACTCTCACCCTCTTCAAATAACCCGAAAATTACCTATCATTAACGATTTATCAGATTCTTCAGTTTCGATAAGTAAATCTCTTTAGATAGTTCGGAATTGAATTTGGCAGGTCGAAATACTGAGCAAACTGCTGGCCTCGTATCGTCGTCTAACGTCATCTCAAATACTTCAACGATGACTGATCCTGATAATAGTCAGTTCGAATCAGTTTTATCAGACATCAGTGGAAGATCCATCGGGGAAAAAACGACAGTTAATTCATCTGACCAAGATTCATGTCGACTTTATGAATGCCACTCTAATAATAATAGTCTTTCAACTGAAGCTTCATATTTGTGTGATGCTAATTTATGTAGTACACAAAACGAAACTAATATCAGTCAATGTAACCAAAATACAGAGACATATTCACAACCGACTACTTTAGTGCATAAAAAAAATGATATGTCTTTTCAGACTAACTCACAGTATCATGTTGAACCTTTGGATCAGTCTTCTTCACTTGATATGAATCATGCACCTACGTATACTACTCCTAAAAAAGCTTCACCTATATCTGACTCATCAGGTACTTGTTTACCTCTCCTACCTCATGGTGAGTTTACTGAAGTTCATCAACAACCTTCGCCACTCAACTCCGAAAAACACATTAACTCTATGAAGACGTCTTCTTCTAAAGGTCTTTGTAACAGTAGTGATGGTACTGGGGTTTTGTCCTTAGAATTTGATACAACCAAGTCTACGACAGTGATGACTTCAGATTTAGATAGTCTTCTAGATAAGGACTCTTCCATTTCATATACGCAACCGATTTCAGATAGTCATATGAATTCACAGAAATCCACATGCTTCTCTCTTTATGATGATATTTCAACTGACAGTTATTCTAATTGCGATATTACCCAAAAAGTTACTTCAGTATCATCTACTGACATCACTGACTCCAGAAAATTAACGAAAGAAAAATCGATAAAGAAAGTATGTATTTACTTACCAAACAATGCTGTCACTAACTGTCCAATTAAAGATATTGTATCTCAGTGTAATAAAGAAGAAAACCATTCAAATTCAGATGAACCAGATAGTTGTATAATGTCACTCGATAGGCGGCGAGCTGGAAAGCTAAAAAGAAAACTGAAAAAAATTAACCACTCGGAATTTGCTAAACAGTTATCTGCTATTGTTGCAACAACACCTGAAACTTTGGATACACCTGAAATCACTTTTGTAACCGATGGCAAAAATAAGTTGCACGATACTCAACATTTGAGCAATCTGTGTCCGATGCCGATCACTAATAGTAGTCTTTCCGTAGAAGAGACCTCACATGCTTCACATAATTTAACAAGCAATAATGAAAAACAAACAATAGCTGGTTTTGGATGTCTTACCTCTTGGTTTCGAGAAAAAACTCTGAATCCTCAGGCTCCTGGACCGGTCACAGCTGCCATATTAGGTCAGTCTAAGCCTTCAGTTTCTTCTATTTCCATTGATCTGACTGTTGATGACTAAGATCACTTTTTTTACGAGCGAACATGATATTGATCATTTTCTTTTCCACACCTTGATTTCACTTTATGATCATGTATATATTGCAATTTATTACCTTCCAATTTTGTACAAAGATTCATTTCACGTATGCCATAGTATTTTTTAGTCCTGAGTCAATTTTATCTAGAAGTGAACTTCGTTTAAAATTTTTTATATTTTTCCAACGTCCTGGATATATAACTTAGTGTGAAATAAATAAAAGTTTTCTAATTGCTTTTCACGAATATTTTAAATGTCAACCCTTTTAGAGACTTTTTCAAGTTGAAACTCACTCAGCAATCTTACGGATGTTTTTTCAGTAGACAAATAGCCATGCCTCTTGTGTCAAGTTTAATGATACTACCTGACTGTCCAAACCATGGTAGATGGAGCTGGCTTCAGACTCTTGACTTATCGGTTGGAAATCAAATCCCCATACCAAACAGCCACATAAGTCGCCACATGATATTTTCCGCAGTCTTATATGATTGATTACTTTTGGTAGAGATAATGATTAGAGGGGAAGAAGAACGGGTTGAGATTGGTTTCAAAGGAGGGAAATTCAGGTTGGGAGAAAGGCACTGTTAACCACATGTGTTATTTCCACTTAGGTTATCATGTGTCGATAATCAACAAGGATCGTCTGGAAATTGATGCCAGTAGTTTTAGATCTATATGTACATTCGCTTTTTCACTTTTCGAATAATCAAACTGCTTTTCCCTGATAAGAAAAGTTACTTATAATCACACTATAGTGAACGTAGTTCTTAACCTAATAAAAAAATATTTTCACCAAATGTAACACTGATCGGTGAATGTATGGTGCATTCCCCATGTGGGTGTTCAAATAATTTGTTAACATGTTGATCCTATCTTTTATTTTCGGCTTCTCAGTATTACCATCTCTTTTGTTTTGAGTAAAAGAAAAGAGATACTAAATGAAATATTGCAACCGAATTAATACACCTGACGGACACCTGCTAGATGGGCGGAGCCCTTCGAGAAACAGTTGAGTCTCTATCCAGTTGGATCCTGAATGCAACATCCGGATAGGACTCACCACTTACGGGAATCGAGAAAGCTATGGGTAATCTGGAACGAGGAAGAGCAGCAGGAGCAGATAGACCAATTCCGTAGGTATTTAAGAACAGTGGTCAAGGATTATTGGTCAAGTAAACTAAAGTGTTAACTGCTGTGTAGGAGTAGGATATGATCCCATCTGGCTGGTCTCAATCAGTGGTTGTCCAGTCTTCAAGAAAGGTGAGAGATCCTCTTGTGACAACCACAGGAGAATCAGTCTAACATCGCGTCATATATCTTAGGTTCTGTAATGATTAGACGTCTGAGTGAAGTTGGGGAACAGCAAACCAGAAAGGTTTCATATTTGGTCGTGAGTGTGTTGAACAGATATTCACCGTCTGTGAGGTTCTGGAACACAGGTACACTTACTGGTGCCTGACACTAGTTGTAATTGTCGACCAGAAGGCGGTGTTTGACTCTGTCGACCGAGAAGTCTTATGACAGATTATCTCACTGAAAGGGAGCCGAATAAATACGTTATTCTGTTGAAGGCTCTTTAGTGAAACGCCGATGGGCGTGATGTAGCCCATGATGTGGTATTAGGTGAGTTGTCTACGTCGAATGATTTCCGTCAAGCATGTTCACTTTCTCCATTCTCATTCAGTAGAGCTGTGGCTCATCAGTTTAAAAAGTTGGTTCTCAGTTAGTTGGTCATTGCTTGGAACTCCGCTCCACCCACCGAGGTTTGACAGCCAGGTAGTATCATTAGCCTTGAAAATTTTGGTATGGTTTATTGCCTAATACGAGAATGCGCACTAGGTCACTGAGAGCATCTCATCATTTCATCCTTACTCAACTTTATAACTGACGCACTTATGGAGGTCTCCCTCTGGTTGTCTGATTTCTCAGCGACTTTTCTTATCACAGCAGAACTCTTGGTAGATTTAGAGTGCGCAAATAACAAGTCGTTAACAGCATGCAGATTCTTCTGGATATCTTAAATGGCAACTTCAGAATTTTGTGACTACCCAAAAGCAAATTGTCGCTACATGGGTTGGTCTTCGCTGGTACACTGTTCAGTAATTGGGGGTGAAATAGTTGATTGTGTTGATCACTTCACTCAACTCGGAGTTCGGACCTGCCTTGGTTTGTCAGTAACCGACGAAGTCTGTGCACGAATCCCAAGGGCACCTTTGACCTTAGCCAACTCACGCCGGCTTCGGCACTGTCATAATATCCGATTTCCATTAAGACTGGAGTGTACTGCGCTACAGTTCGTTCTGTTCTGCTATATGGTCGTGAGACGTGGTCATTAAAGGTAGAGGGTATGCGAAAGCTTCATGTGTCCGACTAGCGTCACCTTCGTAGCAGAGGCCGTGTGTCGTGGTGTCACGGAGTTAGTAATGTGGAAGTCAGGTGTAGTTTTATGGAGAATATAAAAGTCCATGGTGAGGTTGCTTACTTTTATCGACTCAGGTTACCGGGACATTTATTTACGCATGCCTACTCACCTTCTGCCTCAATGAGCGGTATTGAATTAAGTAGGTTTAGGTTAGAAAATGTTTAGGAGTGACCAGAATAAAACATGGCATCAGTGTATGAAGTCTTTGACTGTTGATATGAGTCGTGTAGGGACTGTAGACTTCGTGGTTGGGGTTCGCGTGACAACGGAAACCATTGATTTGAGATCCTAGGTGATATGGTTGGGAATCTATCTATGGTGCGGATGTACTGATTCTTTATCTTCATACTCAGTTTCAGTACTTTCGCTCTCGTCCTTCCACTCTTTTTACTTCTTCCCACCATTTATGAATGCTTTCTTCTGTATTACTTTACCTTTCATCTTAGTACTTTTCCGCTTGATGCACCGATATGAACTATTGCAGCGCGAATGATTATGCAGTAATGCCTGAATATGTGTTGATACTGTCTGTCTGGCTTCCTAAGTAAAATGTTAAAATTCTAGCTTTGGTAAACCTTTTTTCAGAAACTTGCGAAAATCCATTTATTGGTGTTTAATGTGAAATGCTGTGGAAATTCTACAGTACGTTTTCAATTGTTTTATATAGAATGTAAATAGAGTAGAGTTTACACCCGTAGACGGTTTCTCATAATCGGCTGCCGCATTCTTTTATGATGATCGACCAGGTAAATTTTATAGGTGATGCTATTTGTAATTTTTACTGTCTAAGAAAATCATAGTTTGGCAGACTAGTATTTATATTGTGTGATGAATAAAGGCCTCGTATCTCAGTTAGTAGAGCACCGGGCCAGTAACTCGGTGGTCGCTCGTTCGCATTCGGCTGTAGTTCAAATTTTCGTTTCACCTTCCATCATCACTGAGTATGGATGATACCGTCTTTATGATACTGAATCTCATAGGATATAAAAGGTTGCATTCGGGTTCTCACTTGAAGTTCTGGTTGATAGTCAATTTTTGTTTGGCAGGCATTTGACTCGATAGCCTAGCTGACAGGCATCACAAATTTAATCGAAAGGTGGCACGTGGGTGAGATATAAGGTGTAGGACTTTGCAGGAAGTATTTTCTCAAAAATATAGCCACCGTGGTTCTAACAGGCATACCTTGATGTGTTTTATGATGTCTGAATCCACATATGCTCATTCAGTAAATAACAATCGTTTGGACTTGTTCACATAGTAATTTGTATGTCATGTAATCACAGTGACGATGTTAGTAGGATTTATTACATGTGAATACGAAGAGTTCTTACTTACACAGTTCTTTGTATATTATATGAAATATGCTGAGGAGACGATTTGATTCCCTATAGAGACAGTAAGTTCCATATGATATGGTTCAAGATTCTACATAACATTTTCTGCTGTTAATGGCCAGCCTACTGGTGCATCTCCATTTTTATTTATAATATCAGGTAAACAAGAAATTTCACGTTGATTATGTACAAAATAAAAGTACTAGTCAACAATTGCAGGTAGTATTTTCTAAAACTTGGACAGACAGTTGAAATTAAAATGAGTGTATAGCAGCGTCAGTCAGTGAAGTGGCCTTTAACCACGTTACTAAGACGATTACTAAGTCCAGACAAGGAGGAACTTAGTAAATACTGTTGATAACCAACGTAAACTGATGCAGAATAGATAGTGCGGAAATCCTGAAGGCAATAAAGTAAAATAGGGCTACCAGACGGATCATGTACAAGTCTGCTGAGTTATGTGGAACTGTTTACCTTGATGACTCAATGTCTCGTAATTATCAGCTGGGTTTTTAAGTATCATTTTCTATCTTTGACACTAGTTAGGTGAGTATAGACTAAGTGAAATGCATAGTGCTACTCCATTTGTCAGCATAATTTTTTGTTTAGAAGAAATTGAACACAGGTTGATCTGGCCACCGTTTTATATGCTTAATTACCAATATTAGATAGCTATTTGTAATATAGCCTATACAATCTAAATGTAGTGATTCCCATATGTTTCAGCTTCCCAAAATGGTTAGTGAGTAAAAGCTTTAGCCATTTGATAGATGGAGTTTATGAAGTCTTTTGATGATAATTCAAACGATACATCCACAAGTTTTACGTCCCCACCTGCGGAGGTTTCGGGAACCAGGTAGTATCGCTAGCCCTCCCACAATAGGTGCGGCTCATTTCCTACTAAATAGATGAACACAAGGTGGCTGTGTCCATTTCGTTTAAATAAACAGTTTCATAAAAAATTCTGCATGCCACAGTTACGTAGATAGAAAGGAAAGCCAGTCTTTCAATCCTCTCACCCAACCTATCATTCACACCTCATTTTAATCTGAATCATCCCATATAGTACAAACCCACCATGGATTTAAAGTATAACCCGAGTTCATTCAAATCTTTTGAGTAGTTATTTTAATTGGGGGAATGAACAATAGTCATCCTTCAACTGTCTTGATAACACTTCCAGTTTACTTCTAATTACTTTATTCCCTAGTTCTAGTTATCGAAGG